TGCTTGTCTGTACAACTGTATGTATGAAGTCTTGCTATAAGTGTTAAAATATCTGTATTTAAACAGTCATTTAGAGTTGAGATATGAATTAATTTAACATTAATTCTTGAGAGGGAAATGGTTTCAGTTTTTAAACAACTCTGTTTCCAAACAATTGGTAAATTAAGAATGGATTAAGTTTGACAACCGAAGCCCCACTGTATGTGTCCCCTCATCAGCCTTCTTTCGCTCTGTTTACATGCCACACTGGTCTCACAGTCGATTCCTCTGTTCATTCTGTGCTGTATAATCTTTATGTTATGTCCATGGAATCCTGTCTGGCATCTCTTACTTCTCTCATTAATGTTTACTGTCTGACTTCTCTAACATGTTCTTGCTTCCTCGTAAAGAAAACTCCATTGCAGGTAGCAGCTGATTCCAAGCGAATTAAAAGAAGACTGTAGACAATACATAGTAGAAACACAGGGACATGTAAACTTTAATATGAACAGAAGTAATTCATAGACAGTCACCAGATTAGTAAAACATTATGTGAAAGCTGCAGAGACTGGTTTTGTAGATCAATGATGAGAATGTGATGTACAGATTAAAAGGATAACACAGATGTCTTGAAAGAAAATTATTTCACAAAGAGAACTGATTATCCAACTTAGGAGAAAATAATCTATATAATTTGGCCACATCATGAGAAAGGGAAAATTGAAGTATGTATTATGTGACAATTGAGAGTTAGAAAAAGAATTCTTGCTTGCTACATACATCCAGTTTTAACATATGGCTGTGAATCCTGGACAATAGGTAGGCAGGCCAAACAATTCCTGGAGGCCTCGGAGATGTGGTTTTACAGAAGAATGCTTAGAATACCATGGACAGCCAAAAAGAGCAACCAAGAGGTTTTGAAAGAGGTGGGAGCCCGAAGACAACTTATCACAGACATCAGAAGGAGACAGTCATCATTTTTCAGCCATGTTATGAGAAGAGGGAAAAATAGAACATGTTGTGACCACTGGAAAGATATGTGGAAGGAGAGATAGAGGTAGACAACGAGAGAAGATGATTGAAAGTCTTGTTGCATGGCATGGAGGTGTGTCGGCACACAAACTGATACATGCTGCAGGAGATCGCAGATTATGGAGAGGCATGATTGCCCACGCCAGTCGGCAAGGCACCTGATGATGATGATGATTATGTGACAGGTAAGTTGGAGGGAAGAGAGGCAGATGGAAACCAAGAGATAAGAAACTGGACAGTTTGGCATCATAGCATGGAGAAACATCTGTTTCAGAGATGACTGAAAGAATACAAGGCAGAAGTTTGAGGGCAGACTTGACTACCAGTACCCCATGGCATGGACCATCAACAGAATAGGAAGAATCATCAATATATAAGACATAAGTTATCTGAATGCAACAACAAGCATGATAGATCACATTTTAGACTTTGAAAAGTACAGATCCCACCGTTATTTGTTCATCATTGTTCAATTAAAAAAGAAGGGTCTATGCTTGAAGAATCAGACAACACAGGCAAACACTGACATCTCCAGTTTGTCTGACTCTCAAATTAAAACTCCTGACAACATCAAATGGACGGCAGTTTATTTAATAAATTCAGAAATTATTTCACTGCTACAGCTGTGAGGACAGGATGGCACTAAGTCATTACAGTTGTGGAATAACCAGTTATTTGTTCACATTGTTTTTATTGCTCTGCTATACATATCGGAGCTACACTGCATACTGGTTAGGATACAGTTCCGGTAGCTACAGGTCTGGATCCCCATAGAGCCTGATTTTTAAAACTGATCTGGACTACAAGGTTGACACAGCCTATAAATGAGTATTAGAAAATACTGGCCACATCCTTCGCTCAGTTCTAAATAGTCTGCATCAGACTTTCTCATCTGATGGTCAGCAGACTCTCGGGGGTCTACAGAACAAATTTAAGGTGTCACATACACACAAATAACTCAACTTTGTTATGAAGGTTTTTGTAAATCTACTATTCTTTTTGCCTAAAATGACTGTCAACAAGTACAAGTACACCTGCAGACAATATTTAATTCTGTACCCAATTTGGCTGAAATAAAATATGTTGACGAAAAGTGTAGATATTGCAGCCTAGTTGTAAACCACAACACAATGTGCCGATGGCCCTTTAACGGCACAAGCAGAAAAAGTGTACCCAACAAAACATCTTAACAATGAGTTTTATTTGACATTACAGATGTTATAATTGATAGAAAAATGTAAGGCATTTCCAGTAGAGTAGATGAAAGAATTCTTTATGACAATAGTTCATGTATTATAACAACAGCTTAATAATGGTAGTTTCTATGTTAACTTTGTAACTTCTATATGAATATACTTCCCACTTGATACAAACCGTATATTTTCATAATCATTCTATTAATAAAAAAGAATTATCCCCTGCTTCATTTTCATTTTACCCGATGAACTGGCTATGTAAAACATTCAGAATGAAACTAATAACTTTAGATGTGTATATTTAATTAATAAGTGTCTATTTTTTTTAAAATTAGTTGCGTTTCCTTTACAGGAGGTTTGCAAAACCAAAACCAGCACTTTTGTGTGTGGCTGCTGTGGCTTTTCTAGGCAAATTTATATTCCACAGTCTGCCACTGCTTTCTGAATGGTCGACTCTTGATACTATTGTCAAAACTAATACAAGACGGTCTGCTGCCAAAATGCCTGCAGCTGGGATCGTACACTGCACCTCCTCATTGTGAAGTGCGTTCGCAACACCTAAGCTTCAGCGCACCAACAGTTTTCTATTACATGATAATAAACAAGACAATGTGCTATAGATGACACGCTGACAAAGAGGACAGATATTTCTCAACACATGACAGAATATAACATTTACAGAAATCTGGTAGCCATTGAGAAAGCATAATAGTTACTAAAAGTCTGTGACCATATTGCTATCAAAAGCTCTTTCTCTTGACATTTGTTACACATGATAACAAAACCGTAAAATTCAAAACTAAGAACCATGTGTAGAATGACACATAACATTGCTGTTTCTTTATTTCACAAGGTTTTATTTTAAAAGAAGTGTAAAAAACTTTGACTTTCTGATTTTTACAGCTACACTTTCAGTAATAAAACTGTTTCATAACTGTTTAAACATTTCATTAATAGTAATATTTTCATTTTTACATGGTTTTATAATATTGCAATCATAAAAAAATGTAAACAGTAAAAACTGTACGTGCCATCTTAAAATGTCATGTGCTTATTTTAATTTTAAAAATACTCTTTTAAAATTTTTTAATATTTGTCACAAGGTAATAATGTTTCACTTTTCTACAAGGTTTAACCATACAGTTGTTTCACAGTGTTTTGAAGGTTGAATCAGTAATACCAAAAATTTTTGGGCAAAGTTGTTAGTTATTTTGTCAGTGTTTCAAAGGTCGAATCAGTGATAATATTGTTGGCAAAGTTGTAACTTATAGAACCTTTCATAATGTATAATTAGGAAAACAGCTGCCATTCTTCTTACAAGATTCAGCTAGTAATACTGATTGTAGACTTTTAACGGTGTTTAGTTTAGCATCAGATTACTTATGTTACAAAGTTTTCAGAGTACAAACAGTTAATTTTAGGTATTCATATGTCTTAAACAAACACAACTGTGACTACAATTTTCACCTTGCTAAGCCAGTAAAATATTCTTTCTTATATTTTTCACCAGGCTTAACCTGCAAAACTGTGATTAATTTGTACCCAACACCTAAACGACATTCAAATGTATTAGTAAGCAAGTTCAGAGTAAAATGTACTCCTAAGGTAAACAGAAACCTGACTTGACTTGAGTATATTTGTATAGTGATATAAAATGTTAATACATGTAACCAAATGTACACAAGAAACACACTGTCAAGGCACATGACAAATATCCTTTTTTACAGTTTAAACAATGTTTATATGTATATATATATATAGCACCATTGTGAAATCAGCTGACGCGTACAAGAAGGTAGTCACTTATTCAAGTATATATATAAGTATATAAAATAATTAAATGCATTCAAACCATTCAAAATATACATGGTTATATCTAATGTTTTATGAATATTTGAGCCTGACTGAGAAAGGTAAAACAGAGAAAACTGACATTTATAAACACAACACTAGAACTAAACAGATTTAAGTTAAATATCATAGATCATCTGCTTTGAGGTAAGAAGATTTATTCTGCTTTTTAGGGTCAGTCCTATAAAGTGAGTATCTCTCCCAATTTTAGATTTTACCTCTGTATTGAATCCAACAGATCTTATAACTCAAATGATATGAAATAGTTTTGTGTCTATTCTACATACATGAGTCCCTCTTATTTCACATCTGCCATCTTGCTTTCAAGCTTAATTTCGAAACATAGTACGAAATGAAGATGGCAGTCAAGGGGGTCTTGGCATTTCTATTTGCCAAGCAAGCATATTCAATCAGGCAAAGACACACACTTAAAATATTTGTTACGATTTAGTGAGAAATAAAATACATGAGATTACATAGGACAACTATAACTCTCCATGGATAACAGTTTTTCATGTGGGATTTTTCTTTCTGCATGTGCTTTATAGAGAGTAGGTTTTGCATTCTTTCAGTGCTATGTTGATGAATATCAGGGTTGTAAAGACAACAGACAATTGCAAGTTATAACCAGAGCTAACTGTACAAGTTTCAAGACAGGCCCTTTTCTTGGCAGCTGCTTACAACTGTTGGTCACAAATACTGACCTCCTATTCTGTAACAGCTGAAACACTACCGTTGACAACACAACAAAATACTTGGTGACTGCTGCAAGGTGTAAAGAAACATACAGATTTAGACTAGCAATTCAGCTCCACAGCTCAACCAGATCTTGACTATGAGCTGGATAATGTAACAAAAGCTTAAACAAATGTATACAAAGTTGCCATGCTCAAGAACAACTAGCACTATGATGAATACAAATGACTAGAACAGTACAGAGATTTACTTAATCATTCTAAAAAACTGTGGCCCTGTGGTGTTGTCTTTGATGCATACAACACATCTGCTAACTCTTCTGCGGAGGTCACCAGCCTTCAATGTTTCTGAGAGCGGTCGGCGGAACTGATCTTCCCTCTCCACTGTGGACATCCAGAAGCTGTAGGTGGTGGCATAGTAGTTGCATGTGCCACGACCGTGACATTCAATAAATGGAGAGGAACGGAAAGCTTCTAAACAAGATCCTGGAGATTCCAAGGACTGGCCTGAGCCTTGAGCGCCTGCTCCAGTGCTCTGAGGATCAGATGGCAAAGTATTAATGTATGGACCATGCAAGAGTTACAGATTTTTCAGCCGCCTCTTAATTCTTCGGGTACCAGACAACAAAGCATACATTTATTCAGTCAGTATATGATATCTGATTTGTCATTATTTCTGTCTGATCACTCTATTACTCGTATGTTAACACATTCTACAACTGTTCTTTTGACTCACTGTCCTTAATGTACGTACTATTAGCCATCGGACTTTGGGGTTCATACTGAGGGGAGGATCTGAGCACCTATGGACATGTCTGGAGTGCAATGATGATAACTCAACTAACTAACTAGCTAGCTAGCTAGCTAACCAACCAACTAACTAACTAACTAACTACCAATCATCTAAGTTCTAGAAAAATTACAACACCACCCCATCACCAGACAAAGAAATTGTGCCATTTTGTTTAGCTAGTAAGAGGTGCATTCCATCTCGCAACACCAAGATCAAAATATATAAAAACCAATCATCTTATATGGCACTGAAATTTGAAGCTCAACCAAAATAAGATAAATCCTTATTAAAAATATATGAAAAGTCTTATGATGAATCTTTGGACCAATCAAGATGCAAACTGCAGGGAATGGAGAGTGAGAAGCAACAACAAAATTCATAATCTGCTTACATCACCATTGATGACTGGCATCATGAAGGTTAACACACTGAAATAGCTGGGGCAAATATAGAGAACGTCAGATGGCAGAGAGGCAAAAAATGCGTACTCAAGTGAGTTGATTAGCTGTAGACCATGAGGCAGACTAAGACGATCGTGGAGAGATAATACCCAGAGAGACCTACAAACACTTGGAGTCACTAACTCAAAGGAGAAGGCAAACCAGAGAGATTAATGGAGGCGGATGATATCTACAGCAATAAACCTCAAGGGCTCAGAATACTGAAGAAGAAGAAGTGGTTACGTAGGAAGCACAGAACGAACATCAAATTCTGTTAACGACTCAAAATAAGTTCTTTCGAAACAACTAAACTGATGAGAAATGTAATGTGGATAATTTTTTTTATCTTGTATACTGATATATGAGTCGTATTAACAGCTCAAAAGTTTGGAAAAGAGACCAATGTTGAATGTAGGTTGGGAAATCTAATTTCTGTTCAAAATGATGAACTCACAGCCAGTCAGAGAACACGGCAGAGAAAATACATTTTTTATCAGACAGAACATGTGACATAAACCAGGCAGCTTTTTCTTGCTGAAATCTTCACCAAAAATTTTACGTATATCTCTTGGTTAGCAATAAAACCATATGTCTCCATCCTCACAGTCAGTAACTGATCTTCACATATGCATGCTTTATACAAACACAAAACTATCCAACAGAATACTGTATCCTGTACTTACAAGCACAAAGCTTTACCCTAAATACAAAACTACCCAACAGAATACTGTATCCCGTACTTACAAGCACAAAGCTGTACCCTAAACACAAAACTATCCAACAGAATACTGTATCCTGTACTTACAAGCACAAATCTGTACCCTAAACACAAAACTAGCCAACAGAATACTGTATCCTGTACTTACAAGCACAAAGCTGTACCTTAAACACAAAACTACCCAACAGAATACTGTATCCTGTACTTACAAGCACAAAGCTGTACCCTAAACACAAAACTACCCAACAGAATACTGTATCCTGTACTTACAAGCACAAAGCTGTACCCTAAACACAAAACTACCCAACAGAATACTGTATCCTGTACTTACAAGTACAAAGCTGTACCCTATCCAAACATCTGACCATCCAGAAGGGCAGCTAGGAACCATCATGGTCTGGCTGTGAATGGCAATAATCTGAAGACAAAGAAGCAGATTCCAACACTAGACATAAACATCATCAAAGTCAAGGTAATCAAATAGAAGTAGCCATGACTAATCATCATCTGTGAAGTTCTTTGAAACTGTAAGAATGAACATCCGCTAGTTTAAGCATAAGTTAAGGTGATCAGCTTCTTTCATTGCTGCCTTCTATTCCAAGTGACACATCAGTTACCCACTTGAGAAAATTATGAATGAGTAAATTTAAAGATAATCACATGGCTGTTACCTGGAATTGCTGTGAAACTGTTAGACTCAATACATGCTAGGTCATGCACCAGTTAGGGTGATCAACCGGCTCCCAGTCTCAGTGACATATCTAGTTCTCACTGTATAAAGCTATGTACTAGTTAATGCAAGGTGCCATCTCTATGCCTTGAGGTTTTAGTCTATGAGGGGCTAACCCCCTATTTGTAGACCAACTGGTACTAAATGAGTCATGCCAATATCTTATAGGCCACCATTATTCCTCAGTAAATATATGTCACTGTACCCATTTCAAAGGGAGCCGCTGGGGTTTAGTGGCTAGACTCTCACCTGCGGATCAGAAGGCTGCAAGTTCAAAACCTGGCAGAGCTGAACTTTTTGTCTAAAATGGTGTTGGCTTCCATACTGACCCAGCCTGAAATGGGTACCAGGTACAATCCTGCCAAGTGAAGGCTGCCGGTGTGATGTTGACCACATCACCCAACGAGCGCCGACTGGTCCATAGAATACAGGTCAGGCAAATATGCCCAAAGGCTTGGAAAATGGTCCTTTACTTTACTTTACACATTTCAAGGCTTGGTTAAATGGTCAAAATCCTTCTACAAGCTAAAGGGGCTAATCTGCTGTATGACTATTTCTGCTAACCTGTGAGAAACTAGGTACGGCGTTGGAAAACTGAAGTATGCCTGCATAGATCAAATATGTCAACATATACTGTTTTAACTATATGAAGAGAAAAGTTTAACATAGATACGAGTTAGAACTGGTGGAGGTGTCACTTACTGGAGAAGGAGTCTCACATACTGCACATCTGCTGATGTAGGGTCGAATATCCTCTCCTGTGACCGGCTGCATTGAGGTGGTCATTGGCTGAGGAGTGCTCAACCAGTAGCTGTAGTCAGAGCGAGATGCCACATTGCAGACATTGTTGATGTTGCAGAAGAGGAAGGGCATCGTGTGGAAACGTCTCAAGCAGGAGCCTGCCGTTCCTAAAACCCAAGAAAGAAAATAAAACAATTACTGAACTGACTTTCTCAGTTTAAAAAGTTGCAATAATTTTAGCTGCAGATACAATCGGCTTCTATTTCAAAGAAATGAACTGACTGAACATAAACTATAAACATAGACTAAGAAGCTCAATGTAGGGAAAAGGAAAATATTGCACAGATACAAACAACAATTTTGACCAAAGTCTTTATCAGCAACTTCAAATTCAAATGGTTTGAATACAACTCTACTAATGGACACAATAAGGTAGAGTAAAAAAAAAAGCCAGGCAAAAAACTGTGCAATGGATTGTCTGTCTTTTTGACCTGAATTAAAGATAAGACAAAGATAAATACAACAGATAAAAAAGAGAGCTCACCCAGGTCTTGTCCATGCCCTTGGCCATTTCCCTGGACAAAGAGGAGGGAGTATCCTTCCCAGACTTTGCTAGTGCCATGAGGGCAGTTTGGCACTATAGAATCTTGACTGTGTCTGTGGGAGAAGCAGTTCATCATCAATGAACATTTTTATGGCAAAATCAGTTCTACTAGTAAGTGACTCTTTTCCACGTCTCCAGATGTACTAGACATATAAGCTTAGACCTATATTTTATAGACCAATCGACACTACATGGGTATGGTGGTCAGCACCACAGCCAGCCACCTTTATTTCCTTTGACTATACTTTCTATCCAATCAAGGCTGGGTCGACCAGAGAGCCAAGGTAATTTTTTAATCAAGCATCAAGCTGCAACACAATGGCGGCTACCACTTGTTAGATAGATCAACATCACACAAATACTTGTGGACATAAACTCTGCATCTTCCTTACTTTCTCTATTTCCTTCTCTCTTCCATGTTACTGTTGGCACCCTTCTGTCTTTCCAGGTGACAGTGTTATACTGTGCTATGAGGAGGCATGGAAATGAAATTAATCCTCTCCATAGCTAGACAAACACAAACACCATTAACAAAAACTCTCTCTCTCTCTCTCTCTCACTCTCTCTCTCTCTCTCTCTAAATCTTAACTTTCCAGCTAGACAAACATAAACAGCCACTGACATAAACTCTCTCTCTCTCTCTCTCTCTCTCTCTCTCTCTCTAAATCTTAACTTTCCAGCTAGACAAACATAAACAGTCGCTGACATAAACTCTCTCTCTCTCTCTCTCTCTCTCTCTCTCTCTCTCTCTCTCTCTCTCTCTCTCTCTCTCTCTAAATCTTAACTTTCCAGCTAGACAAACATAAACAGTCGCTGACATAAACTCTCTCTCTCTCTCTCTCTCTCTCTCTCTCTCTCTATCTCTCTCTCTCTCTCTCTAAATCTTAACTTTCCAGCTAGACAAACATAAACAGTCGCTGACATAAACTCTCTCTCTCTCTCTCTCTCTCTCTCTCTCTCTCTCTCTCACCAACATAACTAATCCTCTTATTTTTTTTGTTTAAAGGAAACCAAATTAAACCTAAATTTAGTTGTTACAAAGAGTGTAGGACTGACCTAGTGAAGAGGATACCTGGCCCAGTGCCATCACTTCCAGCAGTTCCTTGTTCTCCAATCTGACCAACAAGTCCAGGTAAACCCGGTCGTCCATCTGTCCCCTCTATTCCAGGGACCCCAGGCCGACCTTTAGCTCCTCGGAGACCAGGTACACCAGGATCACCGGGCATGCCAGCCATCCCAGGAAAACCATCAAATCCCGGAAGACCTGTTGAAACATCCCAAATGCTTATACTGAATTCTTCTTCTTCTTCTTTCACATTACAACATCAGCCAAGCTAAACATTCAGCCCTGCCTGGCTCACAAACAGGATGGTGCATCTAAGGCAAGTTTAGGAAAGCTGTTTTGGTCAGCGGACCATATTTAGAATTGCCAACACATTAATTATAAACATAACACCTAGGTTTCAAAATAACACAATATTTTTGTGGGATAATCTAAGATTATAATCCCTCACTATGCCTCTGGCTTACAAATTTATCCACTGAAGATGTCTTGTCTGAAGCTTACAAATTATTGTTTGTTCCTTCTTTCAAGTTTACATTATCACTCTCTAGTCTGTAGTTTCTGTTCTTCTTTCTCCACTCCCCATAAAGGACTGCTTTAGGACAGTTCTGGATATTTATTGTCTTTCTGACTATCAGTATACTATCAATATTTAATTTACATGTCAACCGTCATCATCATGTAGCAGGTCCTTTGCAGAACGTCGCTCTCATCACAGTCTGCCTGAAAGAAACTCGGTCTCTCGCCTCATGAACTTTCACACTCAAGGAGTCACTTATATCCTGTGCCCATCTGCGTGTCGGTCAACCGTACTGACTAGTTATTATTATTCTGCCTATGGATATGATTGTTGGTATAGTCTTTTTCAAAATGTTTTACCTGTTGACTATTCCATCACATGCTAATCAAACTGCCTATCCATTACCTGTATCAATACCAATTACTTGTCAATCATACTGATTAAGTGTTTACCATGCTGTCTATATTTTAACTCATCTGACTGCCAATAGATTAATTATCTATGAATGTATGTGTTACCTACTGACTTGACTATTGAACAGAGCTTCTGGAAAGACCAAGACTGAAAACTGAATTTCTGGAAGAAAGTGAATTATTTAAGTTACATTTAAAGACATACCACTCTTATAAAAAGCATACTTTGAGGGTAAAGCAAAAGGCAGACGGGAATAAGTAGGAGGATAACATCCAGAGATGGACAAATAGCAGTCTGAATAACCGCCAAAGACAGAAATAAGAGACATTCTGTAGTCCATCTTCACAGCGGAGACAGCATCTGATTGGCTGACTATAGTAACCATTTGTTAAACTATGTTTACTACCTATTAACTTTCTGATTAATCATATACTAGACAGGAATCAGATTTTCTTTTGTCAACAATACTGATACATTTGTAAGTAAGCTGATTACCTGATAACTATATTACCTTCATTTCCAGTGGGCCCACGCAGACCCGGATCACCAGTGGCACCTTTTTCTCCTTTGGGTCCTGGCGTTCTGGGTTCCCGAATCACGTTGTTTGGACCAGGCAGACCCGGGTAGCCTTTCGCACCTGAAAAGTATTTCCATACTTTTAAATACAGAATTCCTGCATTGATTGTGTTAAAGTCAGAGATTTGAGAGATAGGTGAGAATTAGCAACCATCACATCACTTGGCACACTTCTGTAAATGCTGCGACCCTATCTTCAGCAGCCAGCACAAAGTTCCACTAATGGTGCCAGCTGTAGTCTGATTACATGTTGTTTCCCTGTCTTCTGAACATTGCGTGTTTACTAGATTCTCTGTTCATTCTCATTTATGTCATTCTTCCTACTGTAGAGTAGACTGGAACATTATGAAGATATCTGTGCAATGACAGTGATACACTGTAAACCAATCAATCTAAACTGGTCAAAATGGCATTTTTTTGTGAGCCTAAAATAGTATGAAGAAGATAAAAACGGAATCATACCTTTTGTGCCTACTGGCCCCACTGGACCTCTTGGTCCATAGATACCTTCTTCTCCTCTGAAACCCCTCTCACCAATACTGCCTGGGGCACCCTCATCCCCATTTGGTCCTCGCTGGCCAGGATCACCTGGCAAACCTGGCAAACCCTAAAGGAATGCACAACAGAATGTTACAAATAAAAGAAATTCCACCGGGCAACTTAGGAATTAGTCTAAAGTTATACAGTGTTTTATTTTATGCATGCAAGCCAGACTTTACAGGTCATTGACTAAATTACAAAATACAGTGAAGTTCATACTAGAGAAACACTGCAGATGTAGATAATCTATTTCAAGCGAATGAAAGAAGAAGAAGAAATTTCATACATGCAACATTAAGAAAGCAGTAAACATCTTGTAATGGGTAATGTAAAGGATTATTTTAATATTACTGAGTCATATTATGAGAAAACAATATTGCAACATATTTTATCTTCTTCTTTTTTTCTTCTTTTTCTTCTCTTCCTCACTTTCTCATTGAAGTATTGGATGAGATGTAATAATCCTCCGTGAGCTCTTTCTAATGTACGAGGTAAGTCAATATTCCTTTCTCTAAGGCTATTCCTGGTGTATGCATGATCTATTCAATGCACTGATTATAATTTTTTATAAAGTTGTTCTTGATTGTGGCTACTCTGTATTTTGCATTTGCCTGTCCTTGCTCTGTGCTCAATATATTTAATCAGTGGGGTTCTCTGTGCATTTCTCTGTGCAGTCAGTGCCAGAGAATTCTTGTCAAATGGCCAAACTTTTGATCTGCTGCCAAAGGACACAGTTACAATCAGATTAGGTTTCTTTCTTCCTGACCAACAGTGTGAGTTACTTCACAGGGAACCAAACATCCAACAGTGTGAGTGACTTCACAGGGAACCAAACATCCAACAGTGTGAGTTACTTCACAGGGAACCAAACATCCAACAGTGTGAGTTACTTCACAGGGAACCAAACATCCAACAGTGTGAGTTACTTCACAGGGAACCAAACATCCAACAGTGTGAGTTACTTCACAGGGAACCAAACATCCAGCAGCCATACAAAATGTGTATGTGTGCATGAGTGTGCCTGGGTGGGTGTATTCATGCATGCGTATGCATGTCCTGCACGGCATAGGTCCAGATGAGAAACGATCCCCAAATCAGCCAAAGACAATTACAATCACACAATAAGCACATGGGGATGGAATATAATAACAATGACAATAAATGTTAGAGTGCATCTAAGCCAAATTTTATAATTATCTTAGGGCTCCCAGGAAGACCCAACCTAGAATTGGTACCAGGAACTATCTGGGTAGTAAAGAGGGTTACATTCCCACTGAATGCCGATGAGTCATTTAAAATATAATCAAGCACCATTGACCCAACACCCCCCGTGTAATGAACAGTGTATTTTATCTTTTTGCTTGTAAGCAGCCAATCACAGTATCTTGCTGCGTATTACAGCGGGCACCCTTTATTTTTACAGATCTCTGATACTAATTTTATCAAACCAAACCAAACCAATAGACATATGGCTTTAAAAAAAAATACAAAGATATCATTACTAGAGATTTCACCCATGACTACTGCATTGCTGGTAAATGTAATATTCATTACACAATCATTTCTTTAAAAGTAGAAATGACAAGGTTAAAAAAAAAAAAAAAAAGAAATAACTCACATCCAATCCCATGCGCCCAGACTCTCCTGGAATACCCGGTGGACCGATCCTGCCAGGGAATCCATCATCGCCAGGCTCGCCCTTAAAGCCAGGGAAGCCTGGTACTCCAGCTTGACCTTTGGCCCCAGGTCGGCCTGTGAATACAACAGTGAAAAAAAGTGTTGCATCTAACTGAATTATATTTCAAAAATATGATAAGTATTCAAAAATTAGTAAATCATTTTTTCCTGAAAAAGAAAAGAAAAGGCACATTGCTTTGCACACAAGCATGTTATAAGAGTCCAATAATTACGGATGTTCCTGGCTAGCTTTCTACCCCACCAGGACATCACACAAGCGATAAACACCTGATGACACAATGTGCCACCATGTGGGTGAGGATCGCCGTGGAGAGGTGCCAGAAACCGCGTTCAGCCTTTAGGTAATATTTATGGCCAGGCTATATTGCGGCCCCTGGCATAAGCCAGAGCAGGACTTCAAATAACAAAAAATTTTGTCCTAAAAAGGATGGGAATTTTGATAATTGTATGTTCCTTTGAAGTTGGAATTCATCTGCCTGAGAGGTGAGGAATCAACAGTCTGCACACAAAATAAATCATATTTGTAAAATGGATGTGCATGCAAAACTCAGGTTCTGAAACAAGACCAAAGTCCATCAATGAACACACAACTAGAATTTTTCACTTGTGAATGCAAAAAAAAAAGGAAAAAAATAAACAAATATAAAATAATAATTACTAAAATAATAGTTACAGCAAGCAAATATAACATTAAAGACAACATTATGACAATCATCATCATGTGCCTTAACAGATGGCACAGGAGCTGACATCTCTCTCTGTATTTAGTGTTCTGTTGGCGATATCCCTCCATGTAACCACTATATACCATCCAGACTCATGTCTCTTTCTGCCTCAACTGCTTCTAAAGCTGATCCTTCCACTGCCCTGTGTGGGTTCCAGCAGCCTCATTTTGGCAAAAAGAAAATAACAGAGCCACGCCGCCCCCCCCTCCCCCCACAAGCACAGAGCCACGGCCCCCAACAAGCACAGAGCCGCAGCCCCCAAACAAGCACAGAGTCACGACCCCCTAACAAGCACAGAGCCACCACCCCTAAAAAGCACAGAGCCACGCCCCCCTAGCCCCCACAAGCCCAGAGCCACGCCCCCCCAAACAAGCACAGAGCCACGGCCCCCCCCCAGCAAGCACAGAGCCACACCCCCCCCCCCAGCAAGCACAGAGCCATGGCTTCCCCAACAAGCACAGAGCCATGGCCCCCTAACAAGCACAGAGCCACGGCCCCCCAATAAGCACACAGTCACCACCCCTAACAAGCACAGAGCCACGCCCCCCCCCCCAAGCACAGAGCCACGGCCCCCCAACAAGCACAGAGCCACAGCCCCCCCCCCCCCCCCAGCAAGCACAGAGCCACGGTTCCCCCCCCCCCAGCAAGCACAGAGCCACGCCCCCCCCCCAGCAAGCACAGAGCCATGCCCCCCCCCCAGCAAGCACAGAGCCACGCGCCCCCCCCCCCCCCCAACAAGCACAGAGCCGCAGCCCCCAAACAAGCACAGAGTCACAGCTCTCTTAACGAGAACAGAGCCACGCCCCCTCCCCCCCCCCAGCAAGCACAGAGCCACGGCCCCCCCCCCCCCAGCAAGCACAGAGCCATGCCCCCCCCCCCCCCCCCCAACAAGCACAGAGCCGCAGCCCCAAAACAAGCACAGAGTCACAGCTCTCTTAACGAGAACAGAGCCACGCCCCCCCCCCCCCCCCCAGCAAGCACAGAGCCACGGCTCCCCAACAAGCACAGAGCCATGGCCGCCCTAACAAGCACTCTGTAAGAGGCAACCAATGAGTGTTTTGCTGAAATCAGATGTGCTGGCCAAAAGGTGCAGATATTGTAGTCTAGATGTAAATACAGCACAACACACAAGAAAATCATTGCATAAATTATGATTTTTTTTTTCCAGTGCATCTCTTTTCGTCACGTAACCAAAGAACACTGTCTCTTTTTTTAGTTATGTGTGGTGTTTTACTTTCATTTGTACTTTCTAGGTGATCATTATTTTCTCTAGTTTTTCAAAGTATTTGCAACATCAGCCTCAGATGCCATATTAGAAACGACATCCAAATTTGGGCTTATTGATTCATTCACATTCCAAGATTCACTGAAGCACAGGCTGGAGATAATATTTCCAAACTCTCATTTTGAGTCAACAAAAGTTGCTAATTTTATATTTAAACGACTTTTCATCTTTAAATGCAGTGTTTTTGCTTGGCCTATTCTGCAGTTAACTCTTTGCAGATGTATCAACACTTTAGTGGCTTTTCAATCTATCACATTCAAATGGATCGCCACTTAAATAGACACTCTGATAATGTTTCGTTTGCTAAGAAAATGAAATTGCATGAATTTTTTGAAAAACTAGAATCAGTGAAAGAAAATATAATTTTCCAAACATGGCGAGGTGATAGGTTCATTTTTAGATTTGTTTTTAATTAATTAGGTGCAATACAATTTGTATGTGATTTTCTAGACCAAATGATAAGGGGAAGGTCTAAACTTATTCATACTGCTGCTGTTGTTGATGAATGTGTCAATAGTCAACAGATATTTTGATTAATAATGCAAGTGCTGATATTCAAGGAAAAATCCTTGTTTGCATTCTCTGTCACTACAATGTCCAACAGTTTTTTTTCCAGATCTTGTATATTTTCATACATCAGTATTGGAGCCACTGAAAATGTAAATAATGCATACAAAGCTTATTCTCAAACTGAAAAATCCGTCTTCTATGTACCACTTTGATCTTACAATTAATTATATCTGTTTAGTACATCACTTTTCTGTATTCAGTGTTTTTGAAGATTTCACATGTCTTACCTGGACTGCCATCAAAACCGGGTTCTCCAGCAAAACCCTTAGGTCCATCTCTGCCAATGCCTGCCTCTCCTTTGCTGCCTCGTACCCCCTTTACACCTGGAACACCATCATCTCCCATCATGCCTCGGTCACCAGGCATACCCGGGAAACCAGGAATTCCATCAACACCAGGTGGCCCTGGTCGACCTGTTTATGGAAACAGAACCACATTAAAATCTATAATTTAGAGGTAGTAAGAAATATAGGAACATACATCAATTTCTATCAATTTCAGCTATCATGCTTGATCTGTTTACAAAAGTAATCATTTGTGAATGTCTAATTAAGAGGTTTATTCAAATATAGAAAAGAATTTAAGAAAATATAAAGAAATAATTGAAAAATATATAAACTTTCCACTGAAAACATGCCAAGACTGATCTGTTGACAAAGATAATTAATTGAGAATATTTTATCCTTTACAAAAGAAACTTTAAAAAAACCAGATAACTTAAAAACAACTCTTTTAAATTCCACATAATTTTCACATGATTTTTCCTTAGAGCAGCTGGCAAAGCCGTGAAAGTATTCATTTTTCGTTTGGTGCAGAGAACACGTTTATACCGTTAAATCACATAGAATGCATTTTTTCTAATTTGTAACCCATAAATGAGCTTGAAATTAAGTTAAAAGGTTTTTTGTGCATGGGAATATTCTTAACCATCAGTAGATTACTTAATTCAAATGTAACTATCATCATTAATGAAAGTGAATTTTTTTGGGAAGTAGTTTTGCTTTCGTTGTTTTTGGTTTATTTTGGACAAATAAGATAATGTGAGAAGAAGAAAAGAAAATCAGAGCAAAAAGAAAGAAATAAAGACAGAGAGAGATGAGAAGAAAAAAGAAAGAGTAAAATGGAATGTAAAGAGAGCTTAAAGAATTTAGAGAAAACGAAGATAGGAAATGAAAAGAAATGGAAATAATGAAAGTGACACAGCATTTAGAGTATCTAGCCACTGCTCCACCGCGGTTCCTGAACTAGTGAAACAGCTGTGTATAAGGTGAGGCTTATTTGCTACTTCTAGTCTGTTCATCCAGGGATTGAGGGTATTGCTGCATGTTCTGTTTCCTCCTATACAAGCACAGATGCTATTCAGAGATAGCCTTATCCCAAGGTTTGGTCTAAAATGAAGGGAAGAACAATACTAGGACAGAACAAAGGTAAATCAGTAGTTTAAAATAAGAACATAGGTGGGGGTGGGGGGGTACTGTGAGGAGGAGGAAGGCAAGAGAAGTGGTAAAAACTGAAAATAAATGTGGGATTATGGTAATAATAGTAAGGAAAATGATATACACTGAGGAAAACTATACATGAGGAAAATTTTATAATGAAAAAGGTTTGGGGGTGTAAACATTTAAGGGGGAAGGGGGGAGGAAGCCTACACAGTTATACTTTCATGATCTTGGGAATCTCATGGCTTCATTTTGTGATTGCGTTATCACATTCATAGGCACAATATTTTTTTTTAAACCCTAGAGGTTGTCATTGGAACTGCAGAGTTTGAATTGTGTAGAATGCTGTTAGCAGGTGGCCAGCCCCTCTGTGGGAGGGGGGAGAGACTGAGCCTGACAGAATAAAACCTTGTTCAAAGAAGTCAATGCCCTCTTTGTTAACTCTTTCAGCCCAAGACACATTATTACTGAGCCAATTTCATCCCAAAAAGTTGTTGATATAACTAGTACATTCTTTGAGACGAAGATAGTAAAATAACAATTTGAGGCAGAAGGGTTAAAGTAACAACTGAGGCAGAGCTCGTAACAACCAGATGGAGCTTAGAGTTAAGAAAGGTACATCTGAGTACAGACCAAGAAATGTGCAGTTTGTTGCTTGTTATTGAATTAGTTAACATCTTTTTAATCTAGTTGTAAGACTGGATGTGATTTTTTTAAGGAAAAAAAAAAGAGCGGGGGGGGGGGGGGGGGGGGGGGGGTTGCGCTGATGGTATAATTATATGTTCTAACAACACTCTACCTGGCAAACCAGGCAATCCATCAAGTCCAGGCAGGCCAGGAAGGCCAATATCTCCTCCTTGTCCTGGTGCTCCAGGTCTGCCCTCTTGCCCAGGACGTCCTGGCAAGCCTTTCG